TCATGATATGTATGGTTTGTTAAAAAAAGAAGAGTCATTAACAAATATTAGATCACAGTAGTTGATTCATATTAATAATTACATCAATTAGCATATTACATACACATACAAGACATTTGAATCATCGTATAAACCAGTAAACCCAGTGTTACCTTATTATGTGTCAACGGAACAGTAGGGTGGCGATAATGTGGCATATACATATAAGTTATTAGGTATATTTGTAATGTTTTAATAAAAATAAATACCAATTATTCAATGAAATTGACATAAATTCCATACATAAGATTTCAAGTTGATGTGTTGTGCTATCATTTTAGCGGTTGGATCATGTGTCAATTCAATTTGATTACCGTTCATCATTATTGAAGCTTTTAGAATAATCACATTGCTTCCAACGTAATCAAGACATTGGCATATTTACCAATTTACATATCCGTAAAACAATATTCTCTGCAAGTTTCTGCCAACTAAATCAGTCAAGTTTTACTTTCGCGATGGGCTACTCCAGTACGATTTGAGTGTTCCAGTACATCACACGCGAGTGTTCAAACTTTGGAATGTTGCTTGACATGTAGTTGCAGACGTGAAAAAACCTTAGATGTCTTTTGCTTAGTGAGGAAGATACCACGACAACATCATCCAATCGGATATCACCATAGCATAATTGTAGCTACCCAAAATTTACAAACACACAATGACGGGGTAACTGTCAGGCAATCAAGTAATCCTGTATGAATTGCATCATTCCTATAAAACTGAGTACTGTACAGTTGTAGATTGCCACTTTGTGTGTTTCAATGTCCTCTGGTGGAAAATGAGTTGTCAGACAAATTTCATTCAATGTTCTTCATGCATTTCTGGAATAGACAATAGCCATGCATTGAGGTTGACGAGCATCTATCCCCAGTACATTACATACAGATGTAAACACTTTGGAATGTGTGGGTCTTTAGAGCTTCCTCCTCATATGTTCACGGCAATGTTGTTATTTGACATGTGCTTCTATGGCTTCAATTAGTTGTGCTACACACCTGTGTTATAAAATAAATAAAAAGTTATCATTAAATTTAATAATTGGTATTCATTGTCTATTAAAAATTCACATTCATAATCTTTGCAGACTAATCTCTTTTGACATAGCATACTAATGGCGCCTTTTTGAGTGCTGCTTAACTGAAATGCAATGCAGTAGACACTAATTTGACACACGTGCTTCTTCCATGCTTCCATAAATTGTTTACTTTTTATTGACACTTCAAACAGTAAGATAAGTAATTGGGTTTTCAATAAAAACACTCAATTTCACAAGAAAGAACATATGCATTGACCAAAATGTGCCAAAACTTCTAAATTTGTTTTGAACAAAACATATTTTTGCCTTCATTTCACATTTCCTGTTTGTGTCACTTGTCAAAATACAACACACAAACCTCGTCTTAACAGGACATCGACTCAAGCAATACATTATCTATGTTTATTTTATGTAAATTACAACTGTATTCTATCCCACAAACCATACTTACAACAAATAAACATTGTCGATCTTCTGCATGTCAGCGTTTTCTCCTCAGCTTCATGTTGTTGACGTCTGATGCACATTGCCGGAAGTGACGCCGCACAAACAGTCCGATCTTGGATATTATGATTTCTTTTTCTGTAGTAATACTCATACATTTGTGTAATTCAATTCGGCATCAAAAGTATTTTATTATTTAAGGAATTATACTATTTTTTGATAACGATGACAGGAAATATTGCCATTTTTGTAAATTAACTGCGGAGCGATATCGCTATGTCGTCAGGTACGAAAATCATACGAAGAGGAAGAAAGTTGGTCTGAATATGGACAAAAGACATGTTTACGACATGTGCTAGTTATTTATAGTTTCAGTCTTTTTCGTGTCGTTTGGTGTTTTATGGACGCACCATTTGCTTGTGATTGTGACGGAAATAATCACCATTTTTTGACGGCTAAAAAATAAAAATGGCGGCCTCCATTGGACAACACGATGACTTTCGATTTAACCAAAATCCATGTATGGATGTTTAAACATAATTTACTTCATAGGAGTACCTCACTGTATATACTATCTCATTTTAATTCCACCCGAGTATGATAAAACAGCCCGTAGCTCGTTTTATAAATGTATGTAATAGTACACTGTTGGGGAACGCCCGAATACATTTGTATATGTATGTATGTGACCTTTACCTTACAAGGTAGGCTGACATTACTTGCTGTCCTGTTGACACTTCCTGGTTGCTGTGTTATAACCTTGATTCCCCAGTCAGATCATAGACAGATACTAGACTTCCGCAATAAACGAACAGAATACATCTGTCGCTAGGTAATAGATAGCTAGATTGGAAAAACCGATAATTCAAACCAGGTCTTCTGCTAAATGTAAGAATGATACCAGCATGAACTGTTTTATATAATATTACCATCGGTGTGTATTATTATATGTAATATTACAATCATTGTGTATTGTTATATGTAAAATTATTGTCAGTGTGTATTATTATATGAAATATTACTATAAGTGTGTATTGTAATTTGTAATAATATTTTCATTGTGTATTATTATATGTAATATTACTATCAGTGTGTATTGTTATATGTAATAGTACTATCAGTGTGTATTGTTATATGTAATATTACTATAAGTGTGTATTGTAATTTGTAATAATATTGTCAGTTTGTATTATTATATGTAATATTACTATCAGTGTGCATTATTATATGTAATATTACTATCAGTGTGTATTGTTATATGTAATATTACTATCAGTGTGTGTTATTATATGTAATATTACTATCAGTATGTATTATTATATGTAATATTACTATCAGTGTGCATTAGTATATGTAATATTACTATCAGTGTGTATTGTTATATGTAATATTACTATCAGTGTGTATTGTTATATGTAATATTACTCTAAGTGTGTATTGTTATATGTAATATTACTATCAGTGTGTATTGTTATATGTAATTTAACTATCAGTGTGTATTGTTATATGTAATATTACTATCAGTGTGCATTGTTACATGTTATATTACTATCAGTGTGTATTGTTATATGTAATATTACTATCAGTGTGTATTGTTATATGTAATATAACTATCAGTGTGTATTGTTATATGTAATATTACTATCAGTGTGTATTGTTACATGTTATGCTACTGTTAGTGTGTATTATTATATGTTATATTACTATCAGTGTGTATTATTATGTAATATTACTATCAGTGTGTATTGCTATATGTAATCTTACTATCAGTGTGTATCATTATATGTAATATTACTATTAGTGTGTATTGTTATATGTAATATCACTATCAGTGTGTGTTATTAGATGTTATATTACTATCAGTGTGTATTTTTATGTATAATATTACTATCAGTGTGTATTGCTATATGTAATTTTACTATCAGTGTGTATCATTATATGTAATATTACTATCAGTGTGTATTGTTATATGTAATATCACTATCAGTGTGTGTTATTATATGTTATACTACTATCAGTGTGTATTGTTATATGTAATATTACTATCAGTGTGTGTTATTATATGTAATATTACTATCAGTGTGTATTGTCATGTTATACTACTATCAGTGTGTATAAGTATATGTTAAACTACTATCAGTGTGTATTGCTATATGTAATACAACTATCAGTGTGTATTGTTATATGTAATATTACTATCAGTGTGTATTATTATGATATAATACTATCAGTGTGTATTGTTATATTTAATATTACTATCGGTGTGTATTGTTATATGTAATATCACTATCAGTGTGTGTTATTAGATGTTATATTACTATCAGTGTGTATTTTTATGTATAATATTACTATCAGTGTGTATTGCTATATGTAATACAACTATCAGGGCGTATTGTTATATGTAATATTACTATCAGTGGGTATTGTTAGATGTAATATTACTATCGGTGTGTATTGTTATATGTAATATCACTATCAGTGTGTGTTATTAGATGTTATATTACTATCAGTGTGTATTTTTATGTATAATATTACTATCAGTGTGTATTGCTATATGTAATACAACTATCAGTGTGTATCGTTATATGTAATATTACTATCAGTGTGTATTGTCATATGTAATATTACTATCAGTGTGTATTGTCATGTTATACTACTATCAGTTTGTATAAGTATATGTTAAACTACTATCAGTGTGTATTGCTATATGTAATACAACTATCAGGGCGTATTGTTATATGTAATATTACTATCAGTGTATATTGTTATATGTAATATTACTATCGGTGTGTATTATTATGATATAATACTATCAGTGTGTATTTTTATATTTAATATTACTATCGGTGTGTATTGTTATATGTAATATCACTATCAGTGTGTGTTATTAGATGTTATATTACTATCAGTGTGTATTTTTATGTATAATATTACTATCAGTGTGTATTGCTATATGTAATACAACTATCAGTGTGTATTGTTAAATGTAATATTACTATCAGTGTGTATTGTTACATGTTCTACTACTGTTAGTGTGTATTGTTATATGTAATATTACTATCAGTGTTTATTGTTATATGTAATATTACTATCAGTGTTTATTATTATGATATAATACTATCAGTGTGTATTGTTATATTTAATATTACTATCAGTGTGTATTGTTATATGTAATATTACTATCAGTATTTATTATTATATGTTATACTACTATCAGTGTGTATTGTTATATGTAATAATATTGTCAGTGTGTATTGTTATATGTTATACTACTATTATTGTGTATTGTCATATATTATATTCCTACACTGTATCAGTTTGGTAATGATGTATGGATTTCATTTGTATACCTCATATCATCCCGGTGAACTGCAGTTTCAGAGAGCTGATATCAGGCAAGAGGGCAAATATGAAATATAATATGAAAATTGTTAAATTTTAAAAGAAGTTTTCAAAACAAGAACTAACAACAAATATTTGCAGGTATCTTTAATGTAACATCCATTAAATAGTATAAAATCATATATATTTCACTTTATCCTAGTAATATTGACTCGAGTGTCATGATAGTTAGCGATAACTTCACAATAAAAAAATTGAACGATGTCAAATAATCGATAAATGACATGACTGATATCACGTACATCATGTTTTAGTGTTATACACTATCAACTCTCCAAAAGGGCATTAGAAATATTTAGGAAGACATTCACAGTAAAGTTCATAACAACATTAGATCTAAGATTTTCATCAATTATTTTTATTGTATTCTGTTGGGCAGTCTATATATTGATCTCGTATGTTTCTAGTCATTATTATCAATAAATAATGAAAAACATTGCGATATATACGACATTACTATGGAAAGGCTAGCAGTTATTGACGCAATACTGATAGTAATATTACATATAACATGTTTTAATACCAGCGTTCTTTACACAACAGACGAAGAATAAATTATCACGAGCTGTTCTCGTCACTAGATACGTTGTCCGCCTCCGCGGAATGAATGTTGTTTTTAACACCGACAGGGGGCAGGTGTGGCATCAGACATGTCGCTTCATTACATGACCTTTGACCTGTCGATGTATTCAATACTGGATGTGATGCAAACTGCACGTTATTAACTTCGGGTAAAATCGTCACATAGTGATCACCGGACATATCCGAGTTAAATGAATTGGTGCTTCCTCGTGAACTTCCAATGTCGTTTCTAATTCTTGAAGCGTTTAATCTCTCATTGTTAGCATTATCTTCTAGATCCTCTGGAGATCTTGGTAAAATCAGACAACGATTGTCCGCCATCTTGTCAATATGCAATGAAAATGGCATTCTGATATTATCTTTGGTAAAATTTTTCTTATTGATATTAAGTTTTTCATCTTCATAAGTTGTAATATTTCTATTATCATAGCTCCGCATATATCCAAGATTGTTGTTTCGCATATCAGCACTCGTGGTTCCTGGTGCACATGTGGGTCCAGTACAGTCCTCACGTCCGGTCATACCCATCCTGTGATACCTGTAAACATTGTACAGTCTCTGGAATGAATTAAGTATTAACCAAACATTGATCACAGAAAAAAATATCAAACTTACAAAAAATGCGGTAAGCGGCGAATAACTCATGTCGAATGGCGTTTCTCGAAAAATACAAAACACTAAGAATACAAACGGTACAACACCCCGAAACAATGTTGTAGAAGCACAACCAACTACGCTCAACTTCCGGTAAAAACTTGTCTTGTTCTCATTAATGTCTTTAGCTGTCTTGGAGAACTCGATCAATGTAGTGTTCATCTCCATGGTGATCCCGATTAATGCCAAAAGTAAATTCTGCATAAATATCACAAAAATTGAATAGCAGACGATTGTTGTGAAATGATGCACAATATCAATGCGCAGTCGCGCCATATTTGTGGGTTTCTGCACGTGGATATGTTGGGCTATGATGTAAATGTATTTGCCAAGATAAATGCCAAGCGTGACTTGTATAGGAACCGAAAAGGCTTGGTCGATGTCACTCCGAAATGGCGAGGAAAGAACCCCGGATGTTGTTATAAGGACCAAACTGAGGACTACAACAAGCACCAGCACCAACTGTTCCGTCACTCTGCCAACATAGAAAAAGCAAGGTTAGAAAATTGAATCACCATAAAAAATAAATAACGAACTCTTAAATATTAGGGTCCGGAAATGGATTTCAAATCCGCGAGATTCTAAACCATATCAGTCATTGTGACTAGATAACATCCACCACGAGGCACAATTCTAAGCGTCTTAATACAACACAGAACAGAACTACAATACCGAATGTAAGCAAACACGATGGCATGTCAAATAACGAGGCTGTTGTAGCATCTACCAACCGTAGCCAGATTACCAAGCAACCAACAAATAAAGGCTCGCCTGGACACGGCCTTATTGCAAGCAATCCAAATCATACTGCGTTACCGCGTATTATGATGTTTGCTTGCAGAGTTGTGTCATTAAGGACGATAAAAAATGTCATACAGAAACAGTTCAAGGCTTAATGATATTTATTTCTCTGTGTCCGATGCCCTCGTGTCAATATAATGTAATTGAGTTGTATCGAACATCTGAAAGTTTTCATTGTTGCCTCTTCATGTGAAGTTATGACTTCATATGGTTGTATTGCCTGTTCGCTACACTGCCGTATGTTGGCTTGTTGACCACAGACTTTACATGTTTTATTGTCTGTTCGCTACACTGCCGTATGTTGGCTTGTTAACCGCAGACTTTATATGTTTTATTGTCTGTTCGCTACACTGCCGTATGTTGGTTTGTTGACCACAGACTTTACATGGTTTTATTGTCTGTTCGCTACACTGCCTTATGTTGGTTTGTTAACCACAGACTGTATATGTGTTATTGTCTATTCGCTACACTGCCGTATGTTGGTTTGTTGACCACAGACTGTATATGTTTTATTGTCTGTTCGTTACACTGCCGTATGTTGGCTTGTTGACCAGACTTTATATTTGTTATTGTCTGTTCGCTACACTGCCGTATGTTGGCTTGTTGACTTAAGACTTTATTTTCCAGAAACTTCCAGTTTAAACTCCGATAAAATCAAACTAACGCGTCAGTTCAACATAACACGATACTTCCTGATTCATTATCCTAATGAACCCCGATTTCTGTGTTATAACACACGCGCTGTTTCCCGGAAATAGACAAAGATCGATCTCCCGCTCCAGTCACCGATCAGTACAGTCTTTGTTTACTTATTGTTACGTATCCTGAATTTATTAACGATTTAAAAGTCCGCGTGGACAAGGGAATTGTTTTATATGCGTCACAAAGAGTGTTCTAACGTAATATATTGTTCCAGGTTGAGCCCCGTTACTCGCATTTGGTGGAGTATAGTTAGTTTATTTGTGTAATATAGAAAAGTTCAACGGGTGACATTTCCATTTAATTGTATAACTACCGATGTAAATGTGTACAGTTCGGGAAATGTTATTTATTTAAGACGTTATTGCCTCTATCAGGCGGCTGGCTATACAGACTTATAGCCTCTATATATCGGGCGGCTGGCTATACAGACTGTTTAACCACCACCCCAAAGGTAGACTTGTGGATTATGTTTTGGCCATACGATTGTACCAAGGGAGACACGGAAGTGCAATCGTCAGCATTCTGTCGTTTATTGGCTGAATTAGAAATCACCTGTTTGGATTTTTTTCAAAAAACCTAAAGCTGATGATAAGCCAGGCTAAGAGCCCTCCCCACCTCTTCCTAACTGTAAAATTGTACGTTTGTTTTAAGATATTGCAGATTAGAACCATAGCGTCGAGTTGCCCTGTTTGTTGATCAGCTGACATCGTAAATTAATCAAAGACAATTGTCGATCCTGTCTATTTTTGTTTGTATTTTAAGAACCACTGTCGAGTCTACGCTGTTTTTCGTTTGTATGTTAAGAACCACTGTCGAGTCTACACTTTTTCCGTCTGTATGTTAAGAACCTCTATGTAGTCTACACTCTTTTTGTTTGTGCGTTAAGAACCATTGTCGACTCTTTACTTTCTCGTTTGTATGTTATGAACCACTCTCTAATCTACCCATTTTTCGTTTGTATGATAAGAACCACTGTGGAGTCTACATTATTTTTCAGTTTGCATGTTTAGAACTACTGTCGAGTCTTCCAATTTTTCGTTTGTACCAAAGAAATACTGTGGAGTCAACACTTTTCCTTCGTTTGTGTGTTAAGAGCCAAAGTAGAGTCTACACCTTTTTGGTTTGTATGTTAAGAACCACTGTCGAGTCTAAACTTTTTGTTTGTATTTTAAAAACCACTGACGAGTCTTCACTCTTTTTGGTTTGTATGTTAAGAACCACTGTCGAGTCTACACTTTTCGTTGTATGTTAAGAACCACTGTTGAGTCGACAGTTTTTGTTTGTATTTCAAGAACTACTGTCGAGTCTACACTTTTTTCGTATGTATGTTAAGAACTATTGTCGAATATGCATGCTTCGTTTGTATGTTAAGAAACACTGTCGACTCTACACTTTTTTCGTTTGTATGTTAAGAATCACTGTCGAGTCTTCACTCTTTTTGGTTTGTATGTTAAGAACCACTGTCGAGTCTACACTTTTTGTTTGTATTTTAACAACCACTGTCGAGTCTACACTTTTTGTTTGTATTTTAAGAACTACTGTAGAGTCTACACTTTTTGTTTGTATTTTAACAACCACTGTCGAGTCTGCACTTTTTGTTTGTATTTTAAGAACCACTGTCGAGTCTTCGCTCTTTTTGGTTTGTATGTTAAGAACCACTGTCGAGTCTACACTTTTCGTTGTATGTTAAGATCCACTGTCGAGTCTACACTTTTTGTTTGTATTTTAAGAACTATGTCGAGTCTGCATGTTTCGTTTGTATGTTAAGAACTACTGTCGAGTCTACACTTTTTGTTTATATTTTAACAACCACTGTCGAGGCTGCACTTTTAGTTTGTATTTTAAGAACCACTGTCGAGTCTTCACTCTTTTTGGTTTGTATGTTAACAACCACTGTCGAGTCTATACTTTTCGTTGTTTGTTAAGATCAACTGTCGAGTCTACACTTTTCGTTTGTATGCTTAGAACCACTGTCGTGTCTTCACTCTTTTTGGTTTGTATGTTAAGAACCTCTGTCGAGTCTTCACTCTTTTTTGGTCTGGATGTTAAGAACCACTGTCGAGTCTTCACTCTTTTTGGTTTGTATGTTAAGAACCACTGTCGAGTCTACACTTTTCGTTGTATGTTAAGAACCACTGTCAATTCTATACTTTTCGTTGTATGTTAAGAACCACTGTCGAGTCTACACTTTTTGTTTGTATTTTAAGAACCACTGTTGAGTCTACTCTTTTTGTTCGATTTTAAGAACCACTGTCGAGTCTACTCTTTTTGGTTTGTGTGTTAAGAACCACTGTCGAGTCTACACTTTTTGTTTGTATGTTGAGAAAAATTGTCGAGTCTACGAAATTTTGTTTGTTGATCTTAGGCATTTCATTGGATCAAAACACATGAAAGGTGACATGATGAAGCCCCTATGGAAATACATCTACATATGTATATCACTGGAACAGACCAATTATTAATTTTCCAAAAGTGCAAGTAATGCTAACATTACTTGTAAAGCTAATATCAAAATATAAGTTTCATCACCGGTGAAGCTGAAGCTAATGCTAACATCAAGGTGAAAGTAATATCAAAGGTGAAGCTAATATAACTGGTGAAGGTTTCATCACTAGTGAAGCTTATATCACAAATGAAGCTAGCATCACTACTGACACTAACATCACAGGTGAAACTAAAATGAAGCTAACATCACAGGTGAAGCTTATATGAAGCTAACGTCGCTGGTGGCACTAACATCACAGGTAAAGCTAAAATGAAGCTAAAATCACAGGTGAAGTTAATATAAAGCTAAAATCACAGGTGAAGCTAATATGAAGCTAACAACACAGGTGAAGCTACAATGAAGCTAACATCACAGGTGAAGCTAATATGAAGCTAACGTCGCTGGTGGCACTAACGACACAGGTGAAGCATGAAGCTAACAACACAGGTGAAGCTAGCTACAATGAAGCTAACATCACAGGTGAAGCTAATATGAAGCTAACATCAAAGGTGAAGCTAATATGAAGCTAACGTTGCTGGTGGCACTAACATCACAGGTGAAGCTAAAATGAAGCTAAAATTACAGGTGAAGCTAATATGAAGCTAACACCACAGGTGAAGCTACAATGAAGCTAACATCACAGGTGAAGCTATTTTGAAGCTAACGTTGCTGGTGGCACTAACATCACAGGTGAAGCTAAAATGAAGCTAAAATTACAGGTGAAGCTAATATGAAGCTAACACCACAGGTGAAGCTACAATGTTACATCACAGGTAAAGCTAATATGAAGCCAAAATCACAGGTGAAGCTAATTTGAAGCTCATGTCACAGGTGAAGCTAATATGAAGCTAACATCAAAGGTGAAGCTAATATGAAGCTAGCATCACAGGTGGCACTTACATCACAGTTGAAGCTAATGTGAAGCTAACATCACTGGTGGCACTTACATCACAGTTGAAGCTAATATGAAGCTAACATCACTGGTGAAGCTAATATGAAGCTAACATCACAGATGAAGCTAAAATGAAGCTAACATCACAGGTGAAGCTAATATGAAGCTAACATCACAGGTGAAGCTAATATGAATCTAACATCACAAGTGAAGCTAATATAAAGCTAACCTCACTGGTGAAGACAGGTGAAGCTAATATGAAGCTAAAATCACAGGTGAAGCTAACGTGAAGCTAGCATCACATGTGAAGCTACAATGTTACATAACAGGTAAAGCTAATATGAAGCTAACACCACAGGTGAAGCTAATATGAAGCTAGCATCACAGGTGGCACTTACATCACAGGTGAAGCTAATGTGAAGCTAACATCACTGGTGGCACTAATATCACTGAAGCTACAATGAAGCTAGCATCACAGGAGAAGCTAATATGAAGCTAACATCACTGGTGAAGCTAATATGAATCTAACATCACAAGTGAAGCTAATATAAAGCTAACCTCACTGGTGAAGACAGGTGAAGCTAATATGAAGCTA